AGACATTGATATTGCATTGGCAAATTCCCCGTAAAAAGAAAGAGTGGAACAAAAGAATAATAAAGGCACCTCAACTTTTCCTCATTTATGTAGGACAGTCTTATAATATGCATCCAGATATCCTCCAATCACACAAGCTGAAAATTGTTCCACTTTACTGTAGTTCTGTAACCATATGGGAACCAATCTGTCTGTATTCTGTGCACATCCAAAATTCCTGCTGAATGACCGGCCCTGGGAGCGAGTTACCAGTGACCCAAGGCTGCAGCGGAAGGAGGGTGCAGGTGCGGCGGGGAGGGAGAGCCCAGGGCTGGGGTGGCAGGAGGTGTGTGTGGGGAGCAATGGGGGGGATAGGGGAGAGCCCAGGGCTGGGGCAGCAGGGGGTGCAGGTCGGGGGAGAGAACCCAGGGCTGGGGAAGCAGGGGGGTGCGGCAAGGAGCCCAGGGCTGGGACGGGGGGCAGCCAAAATTTTTTTTGCTTGGGGCGGCAAAAAACCTAGAGCCGGCCCTGCTGAGGGGGCCTGAGTTCCTAAGTCAAGATAGAGTTGATCTGGTTTGTGGTGTCATCTGTTTAAAAGCAACTGGAACTGGCTTAATCAACTAGTGATGTCTGCAGGGTGCCATCAGGCCTCCTGAGGACATGTACACAATGGGCCTCACCTGGCCACCGAGAACAGTTCCAGCATACAATACTCACGGTTCTCTGCAGAGACGAGGAACCAGCCAGGACACAAACACGGGCACAAGGGGGGCTAAGTTTGTTGGAGGGGGAAAGCAAAAGCAATATTCTATCAAACATCACTCAGTTTTACCCATCAACAGCTGGCCACATGCTCAGGTTCCTGAGGCTTGGGCTGTGATCTTCATGGTTCTGCTGGATTGGGCCTGCTCAGTTAACAGTTCTAAGAACTCTCCTCTCCTTCAGGCTGGCGGACAGGGCAATTGGGGAAGCAGCTTTCAATGATTCTCTGGGTAACCGCTCGCCGAGCGCTTCTTGCCAATGCACAGCCCAACACAGAGATCCGGGCTGACATTGCAGTTCAATACAATGCACATTCCAGCTTCTAGGCTGTACTACCCCAAAGGGAGGAACCTAACTAACTGCCCTAACAATGTGTGTATATATATCTCCTCAATATATGTTCCATTCTATATGCATCCAAAGAAGTGGGCTGTAGTCCACGAAAGCTTATGCTCTAATAAATTTGTTAGTCTCTAAGGTGCCACAAGTACTCCTGTTCTTCTTTTTGCGGATACAGACTAACACGGCTGCTACTCTGAAACCTGCCCTAACAATGGTTGCCAGGGCTTTCCCTGCGGCACATAGAACAGCAGCTGCAATGGTGGGAAACCCAGGAACCTCGTCACTATGGAGCCTTTCAAGCTCTCTGCCTTTTTTCCCTTTCCCAAGGGAGAGTGAGACGTGAACCAACAGGCTGTGGGAAGCTATGGAAGAGCACAGTCAGTGTTTGGGGGGAATTAGAGCCCTCTCTCATCCCCCCAAAAACATTGACTGTGCTCTTCCAGGTCATTGTTTGCTCTCCCCTCACCTTCCCCAGTAGCCTCCTTTTGATGGGGAGGAAAAGAGAAGAGCACCAGGCTGCAAAAGCAACTGTTTCCACATCGTGCTAGTGCAGAGGACTTTGTTCCGGAGTCAGACACTGACAGTTCAAAGCCTCTTGCAGGAATAAATTGCAGCCCCGCAGCATGGAGGGCTACAGCCAAACAGGCCAGACCAGTGGGCCCACTGTCTCTGGTGGGGCCAGGGTTAGCTGCTTCAGAGGCAGGTGTACAATGCCCACAACTCTGCAGTGAGGTGCTCCCTGGGGAGAAAGCCGGGGCGGGGGAGGTTCCTTAAACCCATTTCAAACAGTGATTTGGCAGTTGGAAATCAAAAACCCATAACAAAAAAATCCAACTGGGAGAAGCTCATATAGTAGACGGTGAAACAGCATCTTAAAACAAGCCATGCAAGCTCAGCAGCAGAGTAACAACAATCCTACGTCTCAAGAGACACGGCGCCTTTCAGCCAAACAACTCAAAATGCTTCACAAACACTGATCTGGATTCTTCAGGGTCACATGCTGCTGTAAGTAACCCCAGCATAAAGCAGGGGTAAGAAAATGGAGACTGAGGCCCAGGAACTGTAACCCCTTCAAGAAGCTGGTCCACCAGAGGAAAATAGCCTACTACTGCTACCACCTTTGCTTAAGTGGGGGAGATCTGTGCTGTGTTGTTGAAGGGCCTGTGTTCAGATCCTGAGGAGGGCCATAAGCACCCCTGATTTTGGTTTTGCAAAATCCTGCTGATGAGCTTTAACAAAGCTAACCTCTCCCCCCTTTATTTGCCATGCTGTAGTTCAGGGGGTTTCAACCTTTTTCTTTCGGAGGGCCCCCAACATGCTATAAAAACTTCATGGCCCACCTGTGCCACAACAACCGTTTTCTGCATATCCAGTAGATTAAAAGCCAGGACCTGCGTTAGGGGGTAGCAAGCAGTGCAATTGCCCAGGGCCCCATGTCACAGGAGGCTCCACGAAGCTAAGCTGCTCGGGCTTTGATTTCAGCCCCCGGTAGTGGAGCTCGGGCTTTAGCTTTCTGCCCTGGGCCCCGCAAATCGAACACTGGCCCCTTTCTGGTTTATTTTGATTGACCCCCTGAAACCTGCTCGGGGCCCCCGGACTCCTGGTTAAAAACCACTGCTCTAGTTAAAAGTTTGCAAGGGTAGAGAGGTGAGGTTCCAATCCTCCAGCTGCTGGAACAGAGGCCCACGACTCCAGTAACAAAAACTCACTGTACAGAACAAACTTTGAATTTATATCAGTCAACAGCTTCAGGTTTACAAGTGAATTAAATCCAGGATGTTTGAAAGGCATAAGTGAGCTGTCCCCATGTAAGAATGGGATTTGCAAAAATCAGTGACCTAGAAAATTCAGACCTGCCAACTCTCACTGTTTTCCAGTGAGTCTTGATTGTTTATGTGTTAAGAGACTCACACAACCTCCTACCTCCAAGGACATCTCAAGTTTCACTGCAGTCAGCTCTGTTAACCCTTTAGGCCTGGCAAAGAGAAAATCCAAGCACTGCACTAAAAAGAATGCATAGTTACTCAGACATCTCTGGGGAGAAATGGTTACAGCTGTGCAGGAAGCTCTGAACATAACCTAGCGGCATGTCACACTCACCTGGTCTGGGTTGCATCATAAAATCCAGACTTGGGCCAAGTTCAATGAAAGGTTCACTCAAGTGCATGAGTCATTCAGTGGAACCTGGGCCTAGCTTTGATCAAGACTTGGCTGATGATGGGTTTAATTTCAAAAACTAGTGACACAGGGGCAAATTCAAATCTCTTTCACTTTGTGCTGCAAGTTTCTTTCTGGACCAAAACTTAAAGCCTGGTTCTCGCAGGGGGAGAGGGATGCACACCCACACAAAGCAAGACCAAAAAAGAGTTGGCATGAACATTTGCAAACTCACACAGTCCAGCTGTGGGAATGATGCACAAAGAATGACAGACAGACAGACTAGGGAAAGGACATACTGGCCTCCGGCGTAACAGGAACACCTCAAAAAATCTGGAGCAGAGATGAGACCGTACTGCAAGATTCTGCTATGGATCTGAATTTCAGCAACGTTTTTGGGTCAGGTCTTGGATTCAGCACTCTCCCTCCTTTTAGGGTGACCAGATAGCAAGTGGGAATAATTGGGATACTTTCCCCCCCATCCCCCCCGCAAGATAGAGGGGGAATAGTTGCATATATAAGACAAAGCCCCTAATAGTAGGTCAATCCCGATAACAGCAGGACATCTGGTCACCCTATCTCCTTTGGAGTTCCTGTTTATATTCACTCTTCTTTGAACCTCTGTGGTTTAAAAATTGGGCTGGAAATCTCATTAGCATAGATCCCCTCCCCCCACGAGTTTTCTGGTGCTGCCTGACTCCAGCTAGGCTGGCAATACCACAACCAAGGAATTTCTGGTACTTTCCACCTTTGATCCCAGGTGAATCCAGGTGTATCAAAAACGGGGTGAGGCGGGAATGTTAACCAAACATTTGTGAACTCTCAAAAACGGTTCAGGGGTGAGTTGAGCTTCTGCTCTGGTCTTATTTTACCTGCACCAATTAATGAATGTCTGAGCACCCCAGGAAACACAGCCACGTATGGACATCCGAGTCTTAACATGTTGGCCAGAGCGCATGTGAGCTATGGGATGTATGGTTCAGACTAACCCACGGACTGTGTCTTTAAACAGAGCGAGGAGGCCGAAGGGCTGGGACAGCAGGGTGTAACCAGTTCAGCCAGACAGTCGTCACACATGGCAGTGCTCCCGGACAGGCTCTGTGCATTGGGAGGGATTATCTGGGGTTTAGTCACTGCACTGGTATCACAGGCGGATGCACTGGGCACCCAGCCCAGGTCCACCCTGCCCCTCACAAGGTGTTGTGCGCTACTTGCCAGAGGACTGATGAATACACACTTCCGCTTACAGGCTCAGCCCTCCGCTCTGTCACACCTGTAAGCTTTGGCACAGCAGCACCTGAGCAAACTTGCGCCGTTCAGACAGTGGCTGGACTGGAGTCACATACAGGAGCCGAGAACAGACCTGAGCCACTGCACAGAAGCGGAGGGAGAATTAGAGCGGGGAGCCTGGAGCTATCCTGTACCCCTTGGCAGAAGCCAGGAGAGCGTCAGAGAGAAGCCCTGTTCTGAGGGCCAAGCAGCAAGTTCCTCTTGTACCTCTGAGCCTCCCGCTCCCTTCCTTTGCCTGCAGGCCTGGGGGAGATGAGCATTTCATCAGAGCACCGATCCCTTGGGAAACAAGTCACGAGCAGCCTACAAACGGTGAGGGGGCCTGGCAATGTTCTGTCTGGTGGGGGTCTCAGCTTAGACACAAGAGTTCTGGCAATGACACAGCCTGCACTAGGCAGTGATTTCTGCTCCTGAACTGAAGGGTTTAACTTGTTTTTGTTGGAAAATTAAAAAAAAAAAAGACCCAAACTTTGCTTGCTCGGTGGGGTGTTATATACTTGACAATTGCAACAAAGTTATCCTAGCATTTTAGATTTGCAGAACATCGACACCAGACTAGCATAGCAGGTTCGCTAATTCATGCTAATGTTAAGGACACCTAGGTCAGGTCTACACTAGGAAATTAGGTTGGTATAACTATGTCGTTCAGGGTATGAAAAATCCAAATCCCTGAGCAACACAGTTGAATCGACCTAACCCCCGGTGTGGACAGCACTAAGTCAGCAGGACTCTTGGGGAGACAGAGTACCTACCACAGTGTAGGTAGCGTCTTCACTGAAGTGCTACAGTGGCATAGCTGCCACTAAGTGTAGACCAGCCCTTAGTGAGAGTCACCAATAATAATACCCAGCTGTTATATAACTGTTGTCATCAGGAGATTTCAAAGTGCTTGACAAAGAAAGTCAGTATCATAATCCCCATTTTATAGATTGGGCAACTGAGGCAAAGAGCTGGGACGTGACTTGTACAAGGCCAGTGGCAGAGCCAGGACGACAACCTAGGTCTCCTGAGTCCAAAGCCAATGCTGTCACCACTAGGCCACATTACTAAGGGTTACTAATTAGTGAATAACCAAATAAAGATGGTAAAATTGTTAAGAAAGCTGCACTAGTGAATGTAAAACATGTTAATTTCATTTGACAGAGTAGTTTGCTGTTAGTCATTGACGACAACCCTTTGTAAAAGTTTCTGTAAAAGGAACGAAGGCTCAGGAGTATAAGACCTTACTTCCCAGCCCTGCTGTTTGATCTTTGCTGGGAAGTGGGGTGAAATTGCTAGTTTTCAGGTGGACTTACTGGGTTTGTGGGCTAGTGTAAAAACATGGAGTGAGGTTCCACTATATAAATATTGCTGGGCCTTGGTCTCCTTTTCTCTGCACCTGCTGCAGTCATTTACGCCTCTGTCAGGTGGGTGTGAAATGCTTCCCCCTGTGAATGACACCATTGTACACCCATTTTGCTTTGGTGTAAGTGACTGTGCAAGGTGCAGGGCAATGGAGAATCAGGCCCTTTTTATTTCACTGTTCCTTTGGACCGAAGCTTATATGTAACCTTCATGTTCCCCCTACATTTTCTGGATACAGGCTCAATTCTGAGCACCCAGAACCTGACCTAGCAAAGAATTTTAATCTTGTGATGAGTTCTGAGGGAGTTGATCCTTGCATGATCAAGCCCTGTGTGCATGAAAAAGAGCAGATGAGTGGCTAGGTGTGGTCGTAGCAGTATAATGCATGTGACTTGCATTCCAGGTGTAATTGTTTTAGAGAACACAAACCTGCTTCGTCCCTTTTAAATAAACAAGAAAACCATCTCCCCCCCCCCACACACACATTTTGCTGCACTGAACTAGGGTTACCATATTTAAAAAATAAAAAAAGAGGACACTCCACGAGCCCCGGCCCCGCCCCAATTCTGCCCCTTCCCCGCCCCTTCCCCAAAGTCCCTGCCCTAACTCCCCCTCCTCCCTCCCAGCCGCGCAAAAAGGGCTGCCTGAGTGCTACCGGCTTCACGGTTTGCCGGGCAGCCTCCAGACCCTGTGCCCCCGGCCGGCGCTTCCCCAGCGCAGCTGGAGCCCGGGAGGGGAAGCGCCCCGCCAGCGGCTCGGGGTCCGGAGGCAAGGGGGCTGCCCGAAGCCGGAGCGCTCAGGCAGCTCGGCTCTTAAACAGAGCCGAAGAGTCAGGGGAGGAGCAGAGCAGCTGGAGCCTGGGAGGGGAAGTGCCCGGCCGGTATTTTTCCCGGACATGTTCGGCTTTTTGGCAATTCCCCCCGAACGGGGGTTTGATTACCAAAAAGCCGGACATGTCCGGGAAAAACCGGACATTTGGTAACCCTAACTGAGCACTAAATAAAGTGGCTATGCAGAAAGGGGTGAGGTGTCACTTCATCAATCAGCACTGGGGGTATTGTGCTGCTGGAGGAGCCATCAGAAGTAAAACTAAAATTGTGACCTCTCTGGGCATTCAAAGATCCCAAGGCATTTTTCACAGAAGTGGTGACATTATGGCCTGCAGGAATTCAAATCTGAGTAAATTCCCCTGTAGTTTTAGGTTGCCGTATTTTTCTTCACTTCATGGCCTAAATGCTATGGGAAAGTTTTAGGGTGCCCTGATAAACAGCTTCACTGTTATCTTCTACCCCAGAAATGGCTGCGTGGTGCGTGATCAGCTAATCTGGTCCAGCTTTTGGATTTATAACAATGCCCCAAAATAGGTCAAACTAATTTGGGGTTTTGTTACTAAAATTACACACAGCTCTTGTCCCAACTCTTAAGGGAAAACCCAAATCAAGGGGAGAGGAAAATAAAACTTTAGCTATTAATACTGTAACAAATCCTTGGTTGTCCTCATGCTTGTTGCTATCACCTCCCTGATGCTTCACAATAGCAGGGAGAGACCTCAACACTTCCTATTACCAAGTCATAGCCCTCTGTTATGTGAGCTGACGGGGAATGCAAAGAGGCAGGATGGTCCAGCAGTTAGGGCTCTCACCTGAAATCCAAGTTCAAGTCCCTGTGCGACCTTGGCCAAGTCACTTAGTCTCTCTGTGCCTCAGCTTCCTAACTCTAAAATGAGGAAAGTGGCACTTCCCTACTGTGATGGGTTGGATCACAGAAACCCCCTTGGGAACTACCAACTGATGTGCCAAGACTACTTCTGCCCCTGCCTTCCCTGCCAGCTCAGGACTCCAGCACCCTGTCTTGCTGAGCCAGATACGCCCATCTGCTCTGACACAGACCCAGGGTCTGAACCACGTGCCCCAAAGCTGCAGGTTTGCCTGAAAGCAGCTTACCAAAGTGTTCCTGTCTTTACCACTCAGATGCCCAACTCCCAATGGGGTCTAAACCCCAAATAAATCCGTCTGACCCTGTATAAAGCTTTTACAGGGTAAACTCATAAATTGTTCGCCCTCTATAACACTGATAGAAAGATATGCACAGCTGTTTGCCCCACCCCCAGGTATTAATGCGTACTCTGGGTTAATTAATAAGTAAAAAATGATTTTATTACATACAGAAAGTAGGATTTAAATGGTTCCAAGTAGTAACAGACAGAACAAAGTGAATTACCAAATAAAATAAAATAGAACATGCAAGTCTATGTCTAAGACAACTGAATACAGATAAAACCTCACCACTTCCAGTAAGCTTCCTTTTACAGACTAGTCTCCTTCTAGTCTGGGTCCAGCAATCAGTCACACCCCCTGTAGTTACTGTCCTTTGTTCCAGTTTCTTTCAGGTATCCTTAGGGGTGGACAGGCTATCTCTTTAGCCAGCTGAAGACAAAATGGAGGGGTCTCCCAGGGGTTTAAGTAGACTTTCTCTTGTGGGTGGAGACCCCCTCCTCTCTCATATGCAAAGTCCAGCTCCAAAATGGAGTTTTGGAGTCACATGGGCAAGTCACATGTTCATGCATGACTGAGTTTCTTACCACCCAAGCCACATACCCGGGACAGCTCCAATGTGGATTGGCATCTTCAAGTTCATTGTTGGCTTAAGTGGTTCTTGACTGGGCACTTAATTTGCACATTCCTTTCTCAAGAAGCTGACCAAATGCTTTACTAAGGCTATCAAGCAAGTATTCAGCCAATATTCCTAACTTCAAGTACAAAAATGATGCACGCATCAAATAGGAGGAATGTATTCAGTAGATCATAACCTTTACATAGGTATATTACATGGCATATGTAGCATAAAACATATTCCAGTTATATCATATATACATTCATAAGCATATTCCCATGAAGCCTTATGGGGCACACCATCACACCTACCTCACAGGGGTGTTGTCTGGAGAAATCCATTACACAGTGTGAGGTGCTTAGATATTATGGCAATGGGAATCATGTAAGTATCTTAGACAGACTCTTGGTTAGCTATTAGCAGGATATGAACTCAGATGCAGAGGTGAGCCGTTCTGATTCCATCCAGTAGGGGGCAGTGACAGTTAATTCCAATTTCCCACTGCTCTGACATGTAATGAGTGTGATATTTTCACCCTGTGACTGCAGCTGTCACCGATCGTGGAGTTAAACATTGGCGGGGAGGTGTACACAACAACGCTAAGCACCCTGAAGAAACACCCTGGCTCCAAGCTGGCAGACATGTTTACTGGCCAGCCCAAGCTCAGGACAGACACAGAGGGGAGGTTCTTCATTGACAGGCCAGGCACCTATTTTAAGTACATCTTGGAATACCTCCGCAGTAACCAGGTGCCCACCCAGTGCATCCAGGACGTGTATAAAGAGGCATTGTTCTATGACATCGAGCCTCTGGTCAAGCAGCTGGAGGACTCCCCTCAGATTTTTGGGGAGGTGGTGGCAAGGAAGCAGTTTCTGGCCCGCGTGCCCAACTACAGCGAGAACATTGAGCTGATGATTCGCATCGCCAGGGCGGAGGCGGTAGCATCCCGCCAGTCCAGTGTCATCGTGTGTGTGGTCAGGACCGAGGAGGATGCGGTCAAGTGTCACGACTCCCTGAATAACTTGGACATGGATAAGAAATCGGTGGTGAAGTTTGGCCCCTGGAAGGCGACTCCGAGCATTTCTGACCTTTTGGATTGCATTAAAATGGACATTGAAGTCAAAGGATACAAGATTTCCTTCCAGCCCCATGTCACAGAGAAAGGCTTCCGGTTCAAATCCTACGACTTCTTCTACAAATTTCTGTTCACCTGGTGGTAGCAAAAGGGAACTCTTGGCAGTGATTTTTAAACGGCTATTAAAATAAATAGACTTCTGTTGTTTTAATACAGAGAATCTCTCAGAGATCAGATTCTGGGATCTGGCCAAACTGCACACCTCACAAGTTGAGATGTGTGTGCAGTGGGGGTGTAAAGCCTCCCCACCCCCATGCTATTCCAAAGCTGAGCCGATCATGTACAGGCCTGTGTAAATAAGAGCAGCCTTAGGCTGATTGCTAACTGACCCAAGGGGCTGAAACCACAGTCGGGACCAGAGCAATAGAGGGTGCTCTGGCCTCATCCTCTTTACTCTGATCTCATTCTGTGCAAGCAGCCAGGGCTGGGGGTAGTGTTGCCTCTACACCAGCTCTGGGGCAATCGTCCTGGGACTGAGTTAACCAGATTTACAGCCAGAAACAGCTGTCAGGGTAATACAAAGTAGTTGGAGGATCTGGTACAGAATTTTTACTGTTGCTACACATATACGATAATAGGCAAAAAGAACTTGGCTTGGCTTCTAGATCTCTGGTCGTGTTTGCAGTACTGGGGGAAAATCATCTTTGTAAAGCAGCAAATTAGGTCTGGAAGCGTCATTGAGAGAGAATAAATATGTGAGTACACCAAGTCCTCAGTCTGAATATAGCTTAACTCTGAAGGGTACTTCTGCTCTTGGAGCTAGGGATGGGGTGTGTGATTCCCAGCTCGAGGAGACATACCCATGCTAGGTCTGATTGAACTAGCATGCTCAAAGTACAATGTAGTGAGAGTGGCAGGAGGGGCTAACCGCCCTGAGGACATACCCCTCTGAGATCCTAAGAAATATACTCAGGGTGCCTAACCCATCACGCAGCTCGCTCTGCTGCGGCTACATTCTATTTTTAGTGGACTAGCTCAGCGGGAGTTCACGCAGGTATGACTCCTTGAGGAGGGAATCACACGGCTCAAGCTGCAAGTGCAGACATACTCACTGGTCTCTCCGCTACAGCTGTGCATGATCAATGATATGGCTTCAGTTGTAGGAGTTATATGAGCACATGCAACTCAGGGGCAGCTGGTGAACTGTGGGGCAAGTGGGGCATAGCAGAAACCCCCAGGGCTCCTGCACACCACAATGCCCTACCCCCCCCCCCCAGTCCCAGAACTCTGGGTGCTCTTCTCTTCCCCCTCATTCCCACCTTGCTTAACCCTGGCCTCTGAAGTCTCCCTCCTCCCCCCTCCCTTCACCTGAATTTCTCCTTACTCCCCCAGCCCCTGTTCCCCATTAGTCCCAAGCCCCTGAGGATTCTTCACCTCCTAGGCCAGGAGTGACTGACAGATTTACCCACTCAGCAGAGTGGCTCTTCTCCTGAGCCTCTTGCCTTTCTTCTTGATTCCCCGGGGCCTCCCACAGCTCCTTGTCAGTTCCTCCTGCCGCTTCTCCTCCCCTACAGACTGTGCAGTCAAGATCTGAGAGGAAGCAAGCGGTGGGGATTTTGAGTGGGGTTTGTGGTGCTGGATTCACTGCCCAAGCCACAGGCTGCAGTGACTGCAGAGCGCTCTGAAGCCTTTGGTGGGGGTGGGGCAGTGCCATGACACCTCTATCCATGAGCTGCCACTGCACCCACTGGGAGCTGTGCTTGCTCATGCCAAGGCAAAATTTGGCTCTCCGCTGAGAAAACCAATGCTCTAGCACAGTGGTTCTTTAACACCAGGACCTTGTGTTAAAACCGATAAGGTTTAAGGACCCCTACCTCTCCTCTAGCGGTAAAGAAAAAGGGTGTCAATGCCCAGGTTGGCAGCCCACTCTCTATCAAATATTATTATTATTGATTATTTGTATTGCGGTAGCACTAGGAGCCCCAGTCATGAACCAGGTCCCCATTGAGCTAGGTGTTGTACAAACACAGAACAAAAAGATGGTGTTGGCCCCAAAGGTTTTCCAGTTTAAGTTGAATGTGTTCAACTTGTTAATGCAGCAGTGTTTAGCTATTTTTTGTGCCATCAGTTACATCTCTTTGAGTGCTACAAATGAATATGTGCATCAGGAGACATAATGAAACCCCATGATGATTATTAGATGGAAGAGTCCCATAAGGTACTTCCAATAGTACAAACTACAGCCCAGTTCCTACAGTCTCTACTAAAGCAAAACTCCCTTTGACTTCAGTGAAAATGTTGTCTGAGTAGAGGGTGCTGCATTGGGTCCTCTATTGTTTTTTAAAACCTTAATATTCACAAATTTATTTTTATTTATTTTTATACTCAAGACAGCTGATGATTTTAAATTATTTGCTACCCCCAGGATATCTGAAAATCATATTGGTTATTCTAGATCATGGTTACGTTTACTTTTACACTTGAAATATGGGTTGCCTCCTATAAAGGACAATATGTGTTTTGGGATACTAAATAAATACACTTTTAAAAGCCTTTTTGCATAGTATAAATCTACCTTCTTTATTATCCTCTTAAAAAAACACAAAGCTTTCCTTATACACTACTGGGTTAGAATCTATCTTCATAAAGTGGAGTATAAAATGCCTACATTCTGGTTATTGTTCTTCCGGTGGTGTAAATCAGGACTGAATTCACGTAAGTCAGTGCAGTTACACTGTGTAAAACTGGTGTAAGTGTGAGAAGCTTCAACCCCCTAAAATTTTGAAGACTTGGGCAACATTTTAAAAAGTGACTAACGATTTTGTGTGCCCAAAATCACTTAACGGGGCCTGGTTCTCAGAAAGTGCTGAGCACCCACTATCACTGGTCGCTTTTGAAAATTTCCGCCCTGATCCACTATGCTTTGTGCATTTAGTTCTCGGGGAGTTCCTTACAAGGCCTAGTCCAATGCCCATTGAAATAACAGCCTCCTTTGATTGACTTCAATGGTCAAAGAACCTGATGCTGAGATGTACCACCCTCCTTCAACTCCCACTGTAGACAATGGGAGTTGAGGGCACTCAACCCTTCACTGGTTCTGGTTCTAGCTCAGTGCTGTGTAAAATGTTTGCAAACCAAACCCAAAAGCACATGAAACATACCCAGTTTGGGGTCTGATTACAAACTTAAAACACAGCTCAGGTTTGGGGAAAACACATCCCAAACACAGAATTAAAACCTCTTTTTGGGGGGGGAAATTATTTCTAGACATTATTGGGCCAAATTCACATGTCGCTGGTGCAACTCTACTGACTTCAGTGGGTTCACACAGGAATGACTTTGGCCTGATATAGTCTGTATTAATGTATAGGAATCTAATCTTTTCAAAGAAAGAGAGAGATGAGCCTGAATCAACCTCTCAGAACTGAACACCTCCAAACTTTGTGGGAGAAATGGGTTCCGAATCCATACTCAGATCCAGAACTAATGTCTGAGCCATATTTCTTTGGGAGGCAGAGGACTTGAAGTCTGGATCCCCTTTTAGTTCTTGTATTCACAAAAGGCTATAGTTAAAGATATCAAAACTTCAATGGGAAGCTTTTTCCACCTCCTCCTGACTTCAGCAAAACCAAATGCATCCCCGTGAAATTTTGCATGCCACATCTCATACCAGGATAGAATTTTTCTGGAAAGTTTGGGTCACTTTTATATAACTTCAAATCTTTCCGTTTGGAAAAGAAAAAGGGTAAACTCTAGATGGTTAAGTATGTCTAAGTGCTTTCGAACCGTGGCAGATGGGCAAGGCCAGGACAACTTAAGCAAATATGTTTCACCCTTATTTACTTAACCTACATCAAATACTCACAAAACACAATTAAAGATAATTCTCCTGCCACAGTATAATAGTAAATCTCATAGACTGATATCCTAGAATTTGAAAGTCATATTTTATAAAGAAATCAGTAAAACTAGTCTTTTGGAGATATCCTATCTCCTAGAACTGGAAGGGACCTTGAAGGGTCATCAAGTCCAGCCCCCTGCCTTCACTAGCAGGACCAAGTACTGATTTTGCCCCAGATCCCTAAGTGGCCCCCTCAAGGATTGAACTCACAACCCAGGGTTTAGCAGGCCAATGCTCAAACCACTGAGATATCCTCCCCCTGGAAAAAAAGAAAAAGCAAGACAGTCTTTTATATATTTTAACATTTTTAAGTCCACCTTGTGGCTACTCTCAGAGTACATGTGCAGGTATTTATGAAAACATGTTATTGAGAACAGTAACAGGAATGAATTTCCCTTCTGTATCACTAAATTGAACTGAAATACTCTTCCCACAGAGAAATTCAGACTGGAAACAAAGCTTACATTTTTAATAGTAAGTGGGTTATAGTCCAAAAAAGCTTATGCCCAAATAAATTTGTTAGTCTCTAAGGTGCCACAAGGACTCCTTGTTGTTTTTGCTGATACAGACTAACACAGCTACCCCTCTGAAATATGGCTACCCTCATTTTTAATAGTGAGCATAATAAACAATTGGAATACTTTATCAAAGGTTGTGGTGAATCCTCTATCAGTGGCAAAGTTTAAATGACGATTAGATGTTTTTCTAAAAGATCTGCTCAATTCAAACAGGAATTATTTGTGGGAACTCCTACACCCTGTGTTACACAGGAGGTCAGATTAGATGATCACAATGGTCCTTTCTGGCCTTGGAATCTATGACTCTATGTCAGTGGTTCCCAAACTTTAACAACTTGTGAACCCCTTTCACTAAAATGTCAAGTCTCGCGAATCCCCTCCTAAAAATTAATATTTCCAGGCATTTTCTCCTTTACCTGAGTATAAATGATAAAAGCAGTGATCTTGGAAATATAAAATTTGTTGTTATGACATGCTTATCACACACTATTTATTATTAATTATTTATCATTACAGTATTTTTATTACATTATGAAAACGGCAACACTCTTCCAAGATCTCACTTTCATAGCTTGTATCACTTTGAATAAGCCTGTTATAAAACACGGCACCTATTTTTCATCAAGGAATATCAGATGTGAAACAGCATGAAAGTATTTAAGAAGCCAACTCAGAGAGTTCCTCCTACACAAGCATTCAGGTCTTGAGCAGTCCAGGCAAACAATGCACGTTACAACAAAGCTTAAACTTGTTCTTCATAATAATTTTAAAAACAATACTAGCTGCTTATTTCATTTTTAAAATAGCAAAAAATATCCACCTCCGTTTCCATTTCTTAAAAGGAGTCTTGAAGTTTAAATCTCTTCAGTGTAATAGATATTCTTGCTTTGATCTGTTTAGCTCTTGGAAGTTCAGGGGCTCCAGGCTGCTGGCCACGTGCTGCCAGGGGGGCCTAGGGACAGCTCTATCCACCATTAGGGAATTTGTTCCCGAGAATCCCCTGTAACATTTCGTGAACCCAGTTTGGGAACTACTGCTCTATGTCAGACATCTCCAAACTGTGAGGTGTAAGCCCGTAGGGGGCAGCAGAGGAACAGTTGGGGGTGGCGAGGCAGCTGGGCTATTGCCCACAGGGGATGGGGAGGGAGTGCCACCCAGCCCCCAGCTCTGCTCCAACCCCATCCCGTCACAGCCCTGGCTCCCAACCCTCCGCCTGACCCTGTCCCCAGCCACAGCACGGCTCTGCACACGACTGGGGGCCCGGCTGCTGGCTCCCAACATGGCCCTACTGCTGGCTCCCAACATGGCCCTGCTGCGGCTCCACTCCTGGCCCTGCTCCCACTCCCAGCCTTGGTCCCAGACCACGGCTCCGTCCCTGGCCCCAGCTGCAGCCCCCGCCCCCGGAGCCGCAGCCTCACTCCTGGCCCTCAAAAGTTTGGGGACACTGCTCTATGGGGTCACCCCACTCAGGCAACAGCCCGAGGAAATGTCCTCACACGATGCCTGGAAGGACATAACAACTCGGGCCCCTCTTGGACCATGAGGGGAATAAATGTGTTAGTGACACACACACCCCACCCCGAACACTACCATAGACATCTCTTTATGTGGTAACAAAAGACCCAATGAATTAAAACAAAAAAAATCTGTCAGGAAATTAAAAATGTGGAACCAGACCCTGAGCTCTGCTGATCTGCCCCAGCTGAGACTCTGGCCTGGGATCCCGATCTGCACCACAGCCTGACCCATTGACTCAAGGCCAGGGTGGGAGCTCCAGCCCCGCCCAGGCCTCCCTCTCGCCTGGGATTCACTGGCCATAGAGAGGAGACCTCCCAGTGTCTAGGAAGGACCGTTTCTTTTCCCGTTATCGTCAGCATCTCCATGGTTTCGTTTCCGGGTGCGGGGGGAAGGAGAAGGAGGGTACGGTACCGTACGGTGGCTGAGGCGGCTCACGCCCTGCCGAAGGCGAACGGCGGCGGTGGCGGGGCTCAGCATGGCGGCGCACCTGAAGAAGCGGGTGTATGAGGAGTTCACTAAGGTCGTCCAGGTAATGGGCGAAGTCTGGAGCACGAGGGGGAGGCTTGGGAAGGGGACTCCCCCGGGGGGAGGGGCCCGGCCCCTGCCCGAGCAGGGCGACGCCTGGGCGGCCTGGGGTTGCAGGAAAGCCCGCTGGAAGCCTGAGGCCTAGCACTGAAGGGCCTCCCAGCCCCAGCCCTGGCTCCGGGAGAGGCCTCAGGCGGCTGCTGCTCTTCTGGGACCTCTAGTGCTGGGAGGGCAGCACCGGGGAGCCGGGCAGCTGCCAGCCACCCCGGGGACCCCTTCGGTGTGGGGGGTGCCCCCGTGAGGGCCCGAGGGACGCCTCCGGAGCGGGGTCTCCCCAGGGCAGAGGGCTCAGGGGACCCTGGGGCAGGGCCCGCCCGCCCCAAGCGGTGGGTCTGCTGATCCAGTGACGGAGGGGCTGGGGCTCCCCGCTGTTGGGATGTGCCGCCTCACGCCGTGTCATTGCCCCGCAGCAGCAGCATGAAGAGATCTCCGCCAAGAAGCTGCGGCTGACCAAGCCCAGTAAGTCGGCAGCGCTCCACGTAGATCTGTGTAAGGCCACTTCGCCAGCAGACGCCCTGCAGTACCTGCTTCAGTTTGCCAGGAAGCCAGTGGAGGCGGAAAGCGTGGAAGGAGTTGTCAGAATCTTGCTGGAGCATTATTACAAGGTAGGGAAATAGGGCTCCGGGGAGCAACCTGCAGGACGCTTACAGCAGCAGGAAATGGAAGCACATTTGTACAGTTATATTTCCTGACATGGTTCTGGTTGGAGGGATGTGTGGTTCAAGCGTTTGGTGATGGCATGTGGAGTTTCTAAGGCCTGGTCTACACTAACCCCCCAATTCGAACTAAGGTACGCAACTTCAGCTATGTGAATAACGTAGCTGAAGTCGACGTACCTTAGTTCGAACTTACCGCGGTCCAGACGCGGCAGGCAGGTTCCCCCGTCGACTCCGCGTACTCCTCGCGCCGAGTAGGATTACCGGAGTCGACGGGGAGCACTTCTAGGTTCGATTTATCGCGTCCAGACAAGACGCGATAAATCGAACCCAGAAGTTTGATTGCCTGCCGCTGAACTAGCGCGTAAGTATAGACAAGCCCTAAGAGTACATGGGGTTTTGGAGCGAACTTCCCCAGGCTGGGTTGACAGACTTGGGTTAGCCGGGCTCCTGCTAATAAAATAACTGTATAGATAATGCTTTGAAGTTGCTGCTTGGGATCTGAAGTGTAGGGAGGTGGATGAACTTCAGAGCACTCTGGTATTACTGTATCCCATTGATTTTCATCAGTCCACCAAGTTTCTATGATGCCTGTTATATCAATATCCTCATTTAATACCTGGCACTCAAGTTCACACACCTTAGTGTTTAAACTTCTTGTGTTTGTATACCAGCACTTATAAAATCTGCAATTGAATGGAACTCTTTTTCATTTGACTGTTTCTCTTCGGTTCCCACCTGTACTTTATTAGCTTCTATCCTCTTCTTCTTACTAAGATGATAGAGTATCCCTTTTAATCCTCCCCAATGGATGTGGTTGTCCAAACTGTGTGTTCCTCTCAGAGGTGAAAGTAAGCTGGTACGATACGGTAAGGTGTACCTGCAAGAGCCAGTACGCTGTGCTGGACCAGACTGGCTTCCCCAGGGTGGCGATGTAAAGGACCCGGGGCTCCGCTGCGGGGAGCCCCGGGCCCTTTAAATTGCCTCTGAGCCCCTGGGCTCTCAGCTGCCTCTGCAGCTGGGAGCTCCAGTGGTGATTTAAAGGCTCCAGGGCTCCCAGTTGCAGCCGGGGCCCCGGGGCCTTTAAATCTTGATTTAAAGGGCCTGGGTATTTAAAGGCCACGCCTCTTCCGGCTGAGGCCACGCCCCCTGCTCAGAACTCCGGTGTACCAGTAAGTCCTTTAAGTTACTTTCACCTTTGGTTCCTCTGCACCTGTTGACTTTCCCCCAGCCCTAGGTTTGAAAAGTGCATTACTACCTCTTTAATTTTACATGCCAGCAATCTGGTTCTGTTTTGGTTTAGGTGGAGCCCATCTGTCCTGTATAGGTTCTTCCTTTCCCAAAAGTTTTCCCATTCCTAATAAATGTGAATCCCTCCTCCAAACACCATCATCTCATCCACACATTGAGACCCTTCAGTTTTGCCTGTCTAACTGACCTGTGTGTGTAACTAGAAGCATTTCAGAGAACTCTACCATTGAGGTTCTGGACTTTAATCTATTACCTAGCTGCCTAAATTTGGCCTCCAGGACCTTTCACCTACCTTTCTCTATGCCATTGGTACCTACATGTACCACGACTACTGGTTCCTCCCCAGCACTGCACATAAGTCTGTCTGTCTATGTCTCGAGAGGTCCACAGCCTTCACACCTGGCAGGCAATTTGCCATGCAGTTCTTTCGGTCATCACCAACCCAACTATCGGTATTTCTAATAATCAAATCCTCCCCATTACTATTACCTGTCGCTTCCCAATAACAGGGGTCCCCTCCCCCAGATTTCTATCCTCAGTGTGCAAGGATGCCATGACATAATCTAGAAGAAGGAAGGTTCCCACTATGGGATTGTTTCTGTCTGCTCTAGTTTAATGTTCTCCTTCCTTGATACTTTCCTCCTCCTCCTCAGTGGCCCAGAGGTTGTTTGAATGGGGGTGGGACCTCTCTATTGTGTCCTGGAAAGTCTTGTCTAGATACCTCTTTGTCTCCTTTAACTCCTCCAGTTCAGCCATTCTGGTCTCAAGACCCTGTACTTTGTATCTGAGGCCATGAGCTGCTTGCACCAAATGCATATGCATTGCACCTGCCCACAAGGCAGATATTCATACGTACTGTTTTCAGTGCAGTAAACTGGATAGCCCCCACTCCGTTACTGGACTTCTGGCTGCATTGTTTGTACAGATGCCAGGGGGGGTTGTGTGTGTGTGTTTTTTGGGAGGGTTGTGTGGAGAGAGAGTGGTTATTGGCCTAAGTTTAGAGAATGTTTGTTAGGTGTATTTGGCTCTCCTGCTCGTTCTCTAAACTCCCTTGCAAAAGCCTCCTGTTTGCTAGCTCCTCTGATACTTATAAGCTGGCTTTTTAAACCCCTGGTCTCCGAGTTAGCTCTACTTCTTTTTCAGGGGATCCTAAAGGGATTAGGGATGAAAGGATGACAGGCTAGAGCCTTGTTAGGAAGCTCTCAGCTTGGCCTAGCAGGCAGCTAGGCTCAGCACACAGCCCCCCAAACACACCCCACTATAAACTTCAATGAATCAGGCATACAGCAAGCAAGCATGCACACAACAACAAACAGACAGACAACAAACTCACCCCAAGGTTCACATAGTTGCTCCTCCTTCACCTGGAGAACTCCCTTGTAAAACTCTCCTGTTTGCTGCTACTGTAGGCTGCTCGGTGTCCTATGTGAAAAGAGTTGGTGGTCTAAGCCAGTGGTTCTCAACCAGGGGTACGCAGAGGTCTTCCAGGGGTACATCAACTCATCTAGATATTTGCCTAATTTTACAGCTGGCTACATAAGCACTAGTGAAGTCAGTCCAAACTAAAATTTCATACAGACAATGACTTGTTTATACTGCTCTAGGTACTATACACTGAAATATAAGTACAATATTTATACTGTGATTTTTTTTAACAATTATATGATAATTAGAAGTGAGAAAGTAAGCAATTTTTCAGTAACAGTGTGACTGTGACACTTGTATTTTTATGTCTGATTTTTTTAATCAAGTGGTTTTAAGTGAGTGAAACTTGAGGTACACAAGACACATCAAACTCCTGAAAGAAGTACAGTAGTCTGGAAAAAAATCCCAGATTTGTGGTTAATTAGCATTCTGGTTGGCAATTTCAGCAGAAAGGCCAAGAAGCAAGTTGGCATGCAGGATGAAATACAGCAGAACCCTGTTTATCTGATCTAATTGGGACCGGGCCCATATTGGATAATCAAAAATTGGGATAATCCAGAGAATAGGAAAGTGCGAGGCTGCAGCGCCATCTAGTGGCCACAGGAGAGATCGCTTACTTCTGGACCTGTGTGCGCTGGTTGTTAGGTTAATATGGAGAGCCAGATAATGTAGGGTCAGATAAACCGGGGTCTACTGTATGTTATCTCTGCAGATGGTCCCTAAGGGTAGAGCCCTGCGCGGATAGAAAATTCGTAGCCACATCCGATCTGCAAACATGGTCCGCGGATATAAAGTGGATATCCGCAGATTTGCATGGCTCTAGCTGTAAAATTTGGATACGCATACATCCGCAAACATGGTCTGCAGATATCCTCAGATTCGCGGGACTCAAGGGTCATGGTTGTGTCATACTAGCAGGGCAGTGTGCAGGAAGCTTGTAAAGCTGCTCTGTTGCCCCGCTGTACCTGCTCTGTGGACATTTTAGTTCAGACTCTAGGCTGTCAGTTTGACGCATGTCAGCAGCTCTCAGCTAACTAATAAATGAATAATGAAAAGATGTATACTTTGTTGGCACCTAGGTAATAGTCCTCTCCCTAATCTATACATCCAGACCTCAGTGTGAATAATAGATCTGCACAGCAAACTGAAACTTTGCTTCTGAACATCCTCAGGATGGTTCCCTTTTTAAGTAATCATTACTTCCCTTGTTGATGAAGTCACAAGGGGAATTGCTTTGGTCATTTTCAACCAACTAACCTGGTATCTGCGAAGGTATGAAATTCAGAACAATCCTTCTGGAATTTAATTTTGTGAACCCCATCCTGTTTTAGCAAATTATGTGGGAGCTCCCTGTTATAATTGCTATTACTCCCTTTCCAAAATGCTTGGTTGAAGACTATTTCTTGCCCACTTTTTGTGCATGTGCACAGGCTGAGAGGTAGCTTGTTCCCACAGTGTCCTCAAAAGCATTAGCAATCATACCAAGGTGGTAACTGCTTCATGAATACCTAGATAGGTTGTTAATTTCAACGTGCTTTTTTCTATATTCTCTTACATTTTATCTTTTAGTATGTCTTCACTACCTGCCAGATCTTCCCCCATGCAGACCCTGGCTGACCCCTAGCCTCTCGCATTCAGTTGGGCACATCCGCCCCTGTCCCCATGTGTTCCTGCGTCCCCATGCGTCCTTGCACCCCTGTCCATGTGTCCCTCCACCCCCACTCAGACACCCCCATCCCCGTGTGGCCTTGCACCCCCTCCCACTGTGTGGCTCTATACCCCCCTCCCCTATCCCCATGTGTCTCTGTGCCCCTACCCAGCCACTCCCCTGTCCCGATATAGGTCTGCACCCCATCCCCCATCGCCATGTGGCCCTGCACCTCCCCTGCCTCCTGTGGCCCTGTGCCTCCATTTCCATTCATCCCCTGCCCCAGTCTGTCCTCCACCACTAGCCTTTATGAGACCCTGTCTGACCCCACCCAGCATCCCACGCTGTCTGTCTCCCCATAGCCCCCGTCTCCTGACCTGGCGTAACAGGCTCCACGAAAGCGGCTCTGCAGGCTCTTTCTCTTCCCTTGATGGCCGGGAGCTGTTGCGTTCTTTTGCTGCAGTGCCCTTGGTGGGCAAAAGGCGGAACTGCAGCAACAGTTCGGTGGAAGCTTTTTTTCTGTGTAAAAAAATTAAAAATATGCACGGCTCATTAATTATGCACGCAGTAGCGCAGAATTCCTCCAGGAGTAATATTGCAAGAGCACTAAGTCATCATTCTTCAGGGCATAGGTTGCTCTCCAGCTAGAATTATGAAGAATTGCTCTCCATTGGCATATTGCATTATGGACTGGATGCCTCTGAAGCCTCTGCCATTGTCCACTGTTTCAGGCAGAACATTAAACCATGTGAACCATTTGTGACGGAATCCCCAGGGTGCAACCTGGGACTGTGGGACCGCTCTCCCAAGGTATAGGATGTCCTACATTAATGTGTGATATTATTGCAGTTCTGATATTCAGGGTCCCATGATTGCTTGGCCACATAATGTAACTCTAGTTCTTACAGATCTTGACTCCACAGTCTAAGGGCTTGTCTACACTGACACTTTCCAGTGCTACAACTTTCTCGCTCGGGGTGTGAAAAAACACCCCCCTGAGCACAGCAAGTTTCAGCGCTGTAAAGTGCCAGTGTAGACAGCGCACTAGGTGGTAGCTATGACCCTCATGAAGGTGGGTTTTTTAGAGCTCTCTCCCTGCGCTCTGCCGCGACTATACAAGCCATGTTAAAGCGTTGCCGGTGTAGACTAGCCCTTAGTTAGATTTCTCTTATACCCTTATGGTAGGGAACATTTCCAAGTATGACCTGATGCATAGTTGTCTTCCTAACTCTGCAGACAGCCTGAATCAGTAACTCTGAGAGATGTGGACTGCTCCTACTCATTTAGATGGGATGTTGATTCTGGTGCCTAATGATGGCAATGTGATTATCACCAGAAACTTTCCCCATTGAGTAAATTGGCAGAAATCCATAGCTAATACACTTACTGTTATCTTTGGATGCAGCGAGGCAGCTTTCTCCTTTGTTTGTAGGCAGTGACACAAGAGACACATCCTCCCCAGTGCTAAAAGCCTCAGGTGCTTCCTTTGTGCTAAACCCTAAACTACTTTTTGACACATTCTGGGTGCCAAAACTCCCAACTCCCTCTACCCACCTTCTAAAACCCTCTCTTTCCCATCAATAATTGTTACAATACATTCATGTTGTCAATAGAAAACTCTCCTGCATGCTGAAGACTGAAAAGGTACAGTGTAAAACTGAAATCATTTGAGCCATCTGAATTTAGTATCAAAATAACAGGGAATACTTTCTGTCCGTGCATTACTCATTTCATATTCAGTGAAAGAACTCTTTTGAAATGTTCTGGGAGCTACCACGGGAATCTCAGTATGCCATCAAATTTAGCATTGCTGTGCTGCAGTAATTAGTGCCAGTGAGGGGGTGGCTCCAGTCCTGACAGCCATGATTTTGTGCTGTATGTGGGTCCTGGCCTGTGTTTCACTATTTTATGATCTTTAAGCTGAAAAGAGAGCAGAGGAGACCATCATTCCTTTCATCCCTAGGAGAACGATGCCTCTGTGAGATTGAAGATTGCTTCCTTGCTAGGTTTGTTATCGAAGACGGCAGGATTTTCTCCAGACTGCATTATGGATGATGCCATTAACACGCTTCAAAATGAGAGTAAGTCACACTTCAGATCTAATTTAAAATCAAGGCAGAATCCTCCAGACTTTGTACATCTGAGGCAGTGGTCTCTAACCTTTTTACGCACAAGATCACGTTTCGAATTTAAGATCAACCCAGGATCTACCCCGCCCCCTTCCTTGAGGCCCGCCCTGCTCACTCCATTCTCCACTTCCTCCATTGCTCGCTGTCCCCCACCCTCACTCACTTTCACCAGGCTGGGGCAGGGGGTTGGGGTGCGGGAGGGGGTGCAGGCTCTTAGCTGGGGCCAAGGGGTTTGGAGTGTGGGAGGGGGCTCCGGGCTGAGCCTGGGGCAGGGGGTTGGGATGCAGGAGTGAGGGGTGCAAGGTCTGGGAAGGAGTTTGGATGCAGGGGTCATATGGTCACATTGCATCTAATCTCATAGAATCCACTGGACGTTTCATGAGTTTTACTTTTTATTAGTGTCATATTTATAGATCCAAAATCCTTCAGGGATTGTCACAAATCAGTGTAACAATCTCAACTGTGGGGTGTGCATTGGCTGAGCCTGGGGCAGGAGGTTGGGGTACAGGAGTTGAGGGGTGCAAGCTCTGGGAGGGAGTTTGGTGCAGGAGAGGGCTCTGGGCTGGGGCAGGGGATTGGGGTACAAGAGGGGATGCGAGATGCAGGCTCCGGCTGGGAGGCGCTTACCACAGGCAGCTCCCGCTTGGTGGCGCAGCGGGGCTCAGGCGAAGATCATGATCGACTGGCAGAGGCTCCAGGATCAGCCAGTCAGTTGCGATCGACGGGTTGGTGACCACAGATCTAAGGACTGTGGCAAGACTCCTACGTGAACACAAACAGCCTAAATATACGATTGGGGATTATTGTTCAGAAGGAACACTATTTCCTCCCCCCACTTATTCTCTATTTTTGTGACCAGTGGAAAATCCTATCCTGACATTCTCAGGGCATTCTCAATTGCCAGTCGGTGGGATTTAGGCACTTTTGGAAATTCCATCCCGTGAGCACATCATTTATGTACTACGCACAGTGGTATATCCGTTTACTTGCGACGTAGACAGTGAGATCTCTGTAGGCTCACGAAATTAGTGAAGAGATATGAAACCGTTCACTGTTTTGTTTGACAGAGTCCCACCAAGTTCTTGCTCAGCTGCTGGATACCCTGTTGGTGATTGGGACGAAACTCACAGAGAACCCAGCTGTCAGAATGAGACTGCTAGATGTAGCCTGCAAGGTAAGATAGTCTTATTGATGAAGAAAATATGCTTTAAAGGCCAAATTCTGCTCCCAGGTACTCATGTAGCTTGTGCTGAAATCAAAGGAAGTTGCATGCACATATCTGGGGAGAGAGTTTCACTCTAAATTTTAAATATGCATCATTGATGTTACCAGAATTTTTATGTTTGGCAATGCAAAAAATCTACATAACAAAAAGTGTCCAGTACACGGAAACCCTCAAAATCTCTAAAACTGAATTAATGAGACTCTGGCAGCCCCAAAATAGCAGCTACGACCTACCTGTTAAAATCCGTATTCATATCAGTTTTCATACTCTCCACTTACTTGTTCATGTACAGATTTGCAAATGTGGTTAAAAGTTGTTCCTGTTTTCCTGATAGGATTACTGGTGCATTGAGAAGCCAGGTGAATAGAACAATCTTAAATTTGGATATGGACATTGTCTTTCTACCTGTCTGCAGTTCACCTAGCATCCCAATGGTGCTATGTAAATCCAGATTCCCTAATTTGTAGGTCTGTCCTCAATCCACTAGACCACAGTTGCCTTTTATATTTAAAAAGACAAAGGAAATGAAGCTCAGAATTCATAGAAAATGTTAGTTGACATTAGTTTGCAGCATTTAGGGCAGGGGCGGGCAAACTTTTTGGCCTGAGAGCCGCATCAGGTTTCAGAAATTGTATGGAGCGCTGTTTAGGGGAGGCTGTGCCTCCCCAAACAGCCAGGTATGGACTGGCCACCCGCCCCCCCATCTGACCCCCCCGCCCCGCTTCTTTCCCCCTGACGGCCCCCCCGGGACTCCTGCCCCATCCACCCCCCCCCGCCGCTGTCTGTCCCCTGATTGCCCACAGACCCCTTGCCCCTAACTGCCCCCTGCTGCCCCATCCAACCCTCCCTTCTCCCTGACCGCCCCCGGAACCCCGCCCCCATTCAACCCCATCTGTTCC